TAAGATAGGGTGGGTGGGCGGGGCTTATATTTCTTTTTTTTTCTTAATCTACATAGCCATCTTTTCACAACAAAAAACTTAGAACATGGTTAAAATGTTTTTTTTTTGCAATTGTGGGGCGGGGCCTAATCACAAAATCGATATTTCTTTATAGAAATTTTCCGTTTTAAACATGTGTTAAGTTTCATGTTGTGAAAAGAAGTCTACACATATGAAATTAAAAACATTTTTTTGAGAACCGAATTTTTCAAAGGATACTAAGTATATTAAGAAAAAAAGGCAAAATATAACACAACAATCGGTCCGGTAGTTTCGGGAGATTATCTGTCTAACAAAAATCTACAGACGGCGGACGGATACACAGATAAATAGACGGACGGAACCGGGAGACCTATTTTTTCGTACAAAACTTGCTTAACTTACGCTCGGAAAGTAAAAATAGTGGTTATTTGATCCCAGGTCTGGTTATTTCGGATTTGTTCCACTGTAGTAGGTATATATTTTTACAACTTAGTAACTTGATTAAAAATAACACTAAATATAGCCAAAAAAATACCTCTTGTTCTTAGAAGTAAGCCTACGGCAAACATTTGTAAAATTCTCGATTGGTTGTTCGAACTTGTAAATGTCGTTTTTCGACGAATAGCCGAAATTTTATTCGTTTATCTATTTAGGTAACTTTATCAGAAAAAAATATTTTCAATAAGTACCAGAGAAAATAGAGAAGCGTCATAGTTTAAATTAAATGACGGTTGAGGACTCCTCGACTTATGTTGGCAACAGTGTTTCTAACTAGACATAAAATTAACTACAATAGAAAAAATATCATAATATTTTTAACGACCCGCTTTACTTTGGACACTAGATTTACCAGAATATTACAAGCTGCTTACTGTTTCCTTTACTTTAATTCAGGCCACACGAATTACAGTTCGTCGTCTCAGAACTTGTTTGATCTATAGACCAGAGCGCACTCAGGCCAATGTCGACTCTAAGCGTTCGGAAACGATTTGATCTGATACACATCCTAACCGGTTCCGGCCACAGTTTCTTGCTGTTTCAACTTTCAAATTCTCAGTTTTTAGAACTTTTAGTTTTGGGACTTTTCAGTTTACTCCTATTTATTATTCAATTTTTGGATTTTACAATTTCTCAACTTTTCAATTTCTCGATTTTCAGTTTTTCTCCTCAATTTTACGATTTTGAAATATTTCGATTTTTCAGTTTTTGACTTTTATAAACTCTTTTTTATCGATTTTTCAATGAATTGATTTTTCAGGCTTTTTGGTTTTTCAATTTTTCTATTTTTTCAGGTTTCGATTTTTCAACTTCACTTTTTTGATTTTTCGATTTCTCAGTTTTTCAATTTTTGAATTTCTCAGTTTTTGGACAGTTCAGTTTTGGGACTTTTCAGCTTATTTATTATTCAATTTTTCGATTTTTTTAAGGTTTCGATATTTCGACTTCATTTTTGATCTTTCGATTTCAGAATTTTTCGATTCGTCAGTTTTTCTTTCATTTTTCAGTTTTTCAATATATCAGTTTTGGGATTTTTCAATATTTCTGTTCTTCGACTTTTCCATTTTTGACTTCTGGTGTCGACTTTTTACTTTTTCGATTTTTAAATTTTAGATTTCTCAATTTTTTGGTATTTTAATTTTTCAATATTTAAAATTTTCGATTTTTCGATTTCTCGAATTTTTATTTCAGTTCTTCCATATTTCAATTTTTCAAATGTTTCGATTTCTTAATCTTTCGATTTTTCGACTTCCCGTTTTAAATTTTATGTTTTTCAATTGTCGTTTTTTCAATTTTTCAAATTTGACTTTCATAAACTTTCAATTTTTCGATTTTACAATTAATTGATGTTTTGATTTCCCCATTTCTTGACTTTCGAGGGTTTCGATATTCCTGTTCTTCAATTCTTTAATTTTTAGATTTTTCTTTTTTAGTTTTTTTAAGGTTTCTATTTTTCGACTTCACGTTTTGGATTTTTCGATTGCTCAATTTTTCGACTTTTTAGGTTCTCAGTTTTTGGATATTTTAGTTTTGGGATTTTTCAATATTTCGACTTTTCGATTTTTCACTCCTGGATTTTTCGATGTGTTGATTATTTTACTTTTTCGATGTTTCAATATTTCGATTTTTAAATTTTAGATTCTTTAATTTTTCAAATTTTAGATTTTTCGATTTCTCGATTTTTCAGTTCGATGTTTCGATTTTCCTGTTCTTCAATTCTTTAATGTTTTGATTTTTTAGGTTTTTGGTTTTTCAATTTTTTAAGGTTTCTATTTTTCGACTTCACTTTTTTGATTTTTCAATTTTTCAGATTTTAGATTTCACTTTTAGAATTTTTCAATATTTCAATTCTTCGGCTTTTCTATTTTTGACTTCTCGATTTTTCGATGTGTCTACGTTTTAAATTTTTCGATTTTTCAATTTTTAGATTTTTAAATTTTAGATTTTTCAATCTTTTGACAGTTTAATTTTACAATATTTGTTAATCTTTCGGTTTTTCGACTTTCTAGTTTTAGATGTTCTGTTTTTCAATTTTTCGATTTGTTAATTTTTCATTCCCGATTTATCAAGATTTGATTGTTCAGGTTTTCGATTGATCAGTTTTTTGGCCTATTTCGGTTTCTCAGTTTTTCCAGTTTTGCATTTTTTCGTTTTTCCAATTTTTCAACTTTTAACTTTTTGTTTGTCAATTTCTCTATTTTTCGATTTTTCGTCTTGAGCACTTTTCAATTTCTCGTTCTTTTAATATTTCAATCTCTCAATTTTTCAAGTTTTCGATTTTTTAAGTTTTTTGATTTCTCGATTTATCGATATTTGGATTTTTCGATATTTTGATTCAATTTATAAATTGTTCAATTTTTAACTTTTCGATTTTTCCATTTTGGCCTATTTCGGTTTCTCAATTGTTCGACTTTTGGACTCCACCATTTCTTGATCTTTTGATTTTTCGATTTTTCAGTTATCCGATTTATTAAATTTGGGAGTTTCGATTTCTTGAGTTTCCTTTATTCGGTTTTTAAATTTTAGATTTTTGAATTTTACATTTTTTCGATTTTCTAATGTTTCATTTTTTGATTTTCAGTTCTTCGATATTTCGATTTTTCAATGTTTCGGTTTTACGACTTTCTAAGGTTTCGGTTTTTCCATTATTAGATTTCTCGATTTTTCGAATTTTGGTCACTAAAAACATTTAAAAATTCATATAAAATAGAACAATGTTTCAACAGTATTCTTAGTTAAAGACGTTTTGCTAGTATAAAACACAAATAAAGAATTAATTCTTAGTTAAGCAAAATATGTAAAATTATCTAAATATGTAGCAAAAATATTCACTTAGTCGTTATAAAAAACGACCAAACAACTATTTCCCGCAGAAATTATAGTCCAAACCAACAAAATCGGTTCTGAACGCTTAGAGTCGTCATTGGCCTGAGCGCTCTCTGGTCTGTAGTTCAAACAAGTTCTCAGGCGACGAGTTGTAGTGAAACAAGTTTTTTTATTGGCATCGACTATTTAAATTTTAATTGTCAATAAGGGTGGTTTTGCAAAATCAACCTGTATGTCGCATCTATATTAATCTATGGTTATACCTTGAATGTGAAAGCACATATTCTAAAAGAGCAAAAAGTGAAAGAAAACCAATTATAACAATTTCCATGATACAAGTCGTACATTTGAAGCAGACTATGTCGGCGGCAGATCTTGTAATAAATACTACTTATGTATGTTACTCGTATTATAATAGAAGTTCCACCCCTCTTTAAAACTACTATATCAATAAACAAAATAATTCCCAAGACGGTTTCCCCATGATGAGTTTCTAAAATTAATGCAGCATGCAGGAGTTGGTTTTTACAATCTCCAGGCTATTTGCTTTAAAATGCCATCTAGTCTTAGTTTTCTGGTACTAATTTCCCTGATTGCTGCCTTTAGTGCCTTTGTATATCAAACCGCACAGAAATGTAGAGAAAATTGTCACAACAATTTGGGCCTTAGCGAGTTTTATAACATCTAAGTTTAATCTATTTTTAAGTGTGTTATATTTTACGAAAATCTGTAAGGCGGAGGACTGAGGATGGCAAAAAACCGAAACCTGCAACCTGAAAATTTTTTTTTTTTGGAATGAAGACATTTGTCATTATTTCTGGGACAAATTTACAGACAAACCGCTTTGCGCAGCCTTTTATCGCTATAATTTATATTCGTATTAATCTTATATAAAGTTTTCGTTAATTTTCTGGTACGTTAATGCTGCATAAAGAGACATTAAATACCGAGTGCAATAAGATCAACTTAAATTACAATTTATCAAAGGTTTCATAAATTAAGTATTATAAATTTATAATTCGATAAATAAGATACGGAAATGTAACTGTAGTCGTTCATTTATAATTATATTGGTTGACTGACACTGTGAAAATATTTTTCCTAACATTTATAACATCTATATCTGGCTTCTATGAAACTACTTAAGTTATTAGTAACTACATTAAGTAATACGGTATGAATTGACACTTTTGATGCAAAGACATTTTAACATAATCTGACGGTCACAAAACGGAATTACCTACTAAAATTTTAAAAGCGCAGCCAGCTCTAATCCCTTTTTTCCAATCCCATGGTAACTGAGTTATTTGAACGTGTTCTTCTATGTCGTTGGTTTTAAAAACTAGTAAAATCTCTAATATCCTAGAATAATACCACACAAAAAATATACGTTAGCAGCCCAACACTCACGAATATTCAGCGCAAACCTCCGTTTACTCGACGAATATATTTCGGTTTCTATAAGAGGATTACAATATATCGCAGCACAGCTTTGCTTAGTATTCTTTTTTCGATAAGATACGTTGAGCACCGAGTCCGTTTGAATTTTACACAGCTATAACTAATTTATACAAGAATTTACATTGTCACAGTTTATTGCTCAAACACTCGACATTCGGGCGCTGATTTTCCGTTTTTGCTAGAATTGGACTTACCTCGTCTTTGACGCTCAAGTTAGAAGGAGCAGGAGTCTGAAGAATCGGTGCCGCTGTGGGGCCTAACATGTCGCCGCTGTCTTCTTCGACACTCCCTTCTGCCATGTCAGCCTCGCATCCTGATTCGTCTGCAATATTAAAAAGACCGAAACTTTACGTTTGCAGATTTGGCGGAAGCAAATTTGCACTAATTAGATTTAAATAAGTAATTGCTCTCAAATAAGGTGGATTGTACTTAAATAGTTAAATGTGTCGTTTTCGCTAATTACACCGGTTTGTTGAGTACATTAACGCCAGGAAATTGCACTTTTCGTAAATAAGGTAAATTTGGCATGTTTAGCATCGTAAATTCATTCAACAAAATGCCGTCAGGAACAAAAGGTTTAAGCGCGGGCTATTTCTAAATTTATGACGAAATTATAGTTGAAGGTGGAGTAGGTACAAACTTTCGGCATCGCGCTCTTCGAACGTGGAAAATTTGCATTTTAATATGGTTCCGACGAAAATTTTTATAATCATTACAATTTTTCTTAGTCTATCTATTTCGCATGAAGAGTGTTAAAACACAAGACAAAAGTCAAAATACTCCACCGGGAGCAACGCTTTCGGCATATACAATGAGGATATTCCTTGGAATTAAAAAGCGGATTGAAACTAACTGCCTCTGCTTTTTAAAAATGTCAACGATGAAGATTTTCTCATGATACAGGCAATCTAGACGTGTTACAGGTTAAGACTATTTTTGGAATAGTAGGCGGTCGTTGGGGGACTCAATTAACCAACATGTTATACTGCAATGAGCAAACACATATGCACTCGATTTCAGAATGTCCGATATGGAAACGAATATTGAACATGTTTACGGCGACAGAAGCAATAAACGAATATATTTTCTGCATTTCTCCTATAAACATATAGTTTTCTTCCGGAACTCACAATCGCTTCTATGTGCTTTACAACAAAGGAAAATGCACCACTCAAGCGGTTGCTGGGAACAATTTAAGAAACAGTATAGTATTTGGACCTGCCTTGTCTAAGTAGATACATAAGTAGGTAGATGTATATATTGTGCATTATTTCCGGCGTTCGTTAGCAATTCAACATCAAAAGTTATAAAAGAAAAAAGCATCGATACAAGGTAATGAAAAATTACGAGTAGGTATTAAATTTTCTGAGCACAACTGCGATCTGAACTGCTAAACTGAGGGGAAATATAGGATTAACCGGTTTTCTTTATAGTGTATAATGTACTTACGCTTCTACTTCTGAACCAGAAGGCGTTCTTTTCAGTAATTTGGATCAAGTTGTTGTTAACGAACATTTTGTAAAAAAAAAACTTTTCCTTTATTCTCGTTTTTCAGGTTGGGAAATCCATTAAATCGTTCATACTGCATTTCAGAACGTAACTTTTTAAAATGTTGATTTATTTTATTAATTTACCGCAAAAAAGCATTTCACTGTTTGTTTTATTTTTTGAAAATTATACGGAAATTTGTGTCATAATTATTATCAAAACTATTTTTTTTTTATATCGCTCCACTTGTATAAAATGTATCAAAACTTACATGTTAAGAAGTTGTGTCTTGGATATTTGATATGTTAGTTCTGTTATTAAAAACGGAGACGGAGACCAAATCATGGCTCATTTGGACGCTTTGTTTACATCGTTGCCATGGAAACCGTGCGTTTAGTCCCGGTATTGGGCTGGAATCGGATCTTGTTCCTACAGTGACCAGCAGTAGCCTAATTGCGGGTTTTGCATAGTGAAAGTTTTATAAAATAACACTCCTTGTGCTTTATGAATCTACCTTGAGTTTTGACCATAGAGATCGAGATTTTTTCAAAAAAATCTTATATAATATATTTTATAACAGTATTAGAGCAACATATATTAGTGACTGTTGAATGACGCGAAGGACGTTGAGATCGCTCGTTAGATCCTCTCGGGGGGATCACTTTTTTTCTTACACTGTGATTGGTTTTATCTGTCTATTTACTTCCTGACCATAAGCTAAGGAAGTATTGCAACATGGGTCTATTAGGAAAGAGGCTATTTTCATACTTTCTCGAGGTTTCATGACTGCAATAGTATGAAAAAACAGGTATTAGACGGATAATCTCCAAAAATATCTCACTGATTGTGGCCAAATTTTAGATGTATGTTAGGAATATCATATACACTGTAAAACGCTGACAAAATTTGATTAATTGTCCTTACTAACCATTTAATGACGTCCCTTAAAATCGAAATTATATAATATCATTTTATAGCACTATCAGACCAAAACAGTAGTAATGGTTGAAGAACGCTGAAGTCGCCGGTTCGATTCCCTAACGGGCCACTTTATTTTCTTACACTGTCACTAGTATTATCTGTACAGGGTGAGTCACTAAGCGCGCGTTCCTCGATGTCTCATTAATTATTAGAAATAAAGAAAAACTGGTCGAAAGTTGTTTCCACAGAACCTCCCTCGCACCTAAATTACAATAAAACATACTCAACATTTTCAAGTTGAGTTTTTTCTTTACACAATTTTGTTATCACGTCATCAATATTTTTGCAAGGACACGTATATCAACGTGAGTCGGGGCCGGAGCTTCATTGCAACATCCTTATTTTTCTACAAGAAATTACCATGTAAAACATGGTTTTAAATAATCGGAAAACTATGTATAACCTATAATCCGAACCCACGATTATCCGAACAGAGGCTAGTTGAAGCCGATGCCTCTTTAATCCAAACAAAAACTCTGCAATCCGAACTGAACTTGAAAACATGCACCTACTTGCAAAAATGACGCAAGATCTGCTTTCTGCATGTGTTGTTTTGAATTTTTTGAAAATTTTAAAAATTGCGACATTTCAATGCACTGATTTAACAACCAACTCTGGAAAAAAGGTTGAAGTTATTGAAGAAATGAGGCCGGAAATGACTTCTGCGGCCCGAAATCTATAAGAAAGAGTATTTCGTTAAATTTCGAAAATCGCCAAAAATAGTTCAAAAATTTCATTTTTGAAATAGTTGTCTGAAAATTCTGAAAAAATTAATTCATATCCCTGAATTTATTTTTTTTTAATTTCCCGACGTGCCGATTCCAAAAATATAGCGAGTTTATGGTCACGGAGCAACATTTTCCAAAGAATCGGTACGAAATGCGAATTTTTGAAAACTTCTAAAAATTTCAATATTTCAAAGGACGATTCTGGAAAAACGAGGCCGGAAATGTGTTCTAGAGCTCGAAATATAAAGGAAAATGTATTTGGTTAAGTTTCAAAAACGTCAAAAATTGGCGGAAATTTCAAGAAAAAATTTCACTTTTGAAAAAGTTGTCCAAAAATTGCGAAAAAATTCGGGGACGTAGATCTCGAGATGCTGATTCCAAAAATATAACGTGTTGATGGTCAAGGAGCAACATTTTCGAAAGAATCGGTATGAAATGCGGATTTTTGAAATTTTCTAAAAATTTCTATATTTCAACGGTCGATTCTGGAAAAACGGTTGCACTTATCAAAGAAACGATGGCCGAAATGAGTTGTAGAGCTCGAAAACCACAACAAAATGGACTTAGTTAAGTTTCGAAAATGTCAAAAATTCGACGAAATTTGAAGAAGCCGAAACCATTGAAAAAATTTCACGTTAAAAAAAAATGTCTGAAAATTTTTAAAAAATTCAAGGACGTAGATCTCGACATGCTGATTCCAAATATATAATGTGTTGATGGTCACGGAGCAAAATTTTCGAAAGGATCGGTATGAAATGCGTTTTTTTGAAAAATTCTAAAAATTTCCATATTTCAACGGTCAATTCCGGAAAAACGGTTGCGGTTATCAAAGAAACGATGCCGGAAGTGAGTTCTAGAGCTCGAAATATACAAGAAAATGTATTTAGTTCAGTTTCGAAAATTTCAAAAATTGGCCGAAATTTGAAGACCATAAAAAAATTCACTTTCAAAAAAGATATCTGAAAATTTTGAAAAAATCCAGGGACGTAGATCTCGACATGCTGATTCCAGAAATAGAGTGGGTTGATGGTCCCGGAGCAACATTTCCGAAAGAATCGGTATGAAATGCGAATTTTGAAAATTTCTAAAAATTTCGATATTTCAACGGTCGATTTTGGAAAAACGGTTGCATTTATCAAAGAAGCGATGGCGGAAGTGAATTCTAGAGCTTGAAAATCACAAGAAAATGTACTTGGTTAACTTTCGAAATTGTAAAAAATTGGCCGAAATTTGAAGAAGGGGGGGACCATTGAAAAAATTGGACTTTTAGAAAAATTGTCTGAAAATTTTGAAAATATTCAGGGACGTAGATCTCGACGTGCTGATTCCAAAATTATAGCGTGTTGATGGTAACGGAGCAACATTTTCGGAAAATTGAGCGTGAAATTCGAATTTTTTGACATTTTTAAAAATTGCGGTAATTCAATGGACGATTCTGGAAAAAACAGTTTAAGTTATCGAAGAAATGAAGCCAGAAGTGACTTCTGCAACCCAAAATCTAGAAGAAAATGTATTTAGTTAAATTTCGAAAATCGTCGAGAACGAATAACGGAAATTTTCATTTTTGAAAAAGTCATAAAAAAATTCTGAAAAGCTTCAGGGACATCGGTCCCGACGTGTTGATCCCAAAAAGATAGCGTGTTTATGGTCACGGAGTAATTTTTTTCGAATGTGTCTATTATCCATTGTTACTTAAGAATACTTTATTTCTGTTTAAAAAAATTAAGGTTTATCTCTTGAAGTTTGTTTTCAGCAGTGTAGGAAGTTGTTATTCAATTCCCTCTCAGATTTTTGGGAAATTCGCTGATCCGAACAAATCGCTAATCCGAACACAACTTTTCCCCATTTAATTCGGATTATCGAGGTTCTGCTGTATATGTATAATAAGTAAAAAAGAAAGAGAAAGATTAAGCCTCACCTACAGCCGTCCCGATTTCAATTGTGATGAATTTTTCACTCGTTATCAGAGTGGGAGGAGGAGCTTAATTTCAAAAGCGGTATTTATCTACAAAAAGTTACCGTTTTAAACACGCTTGAACAAAGTATTTTGTAATGAAAAGAAGAACGTATATTAAGAAAAAAAGGGAAAATACAAAGCCCGCCCACCCGCCCTATTTCAAATGTG